CTAATAATCATATGTACATTCATGATCGTTCGCGGTGATGAACAGTGCCTCGATTCTGTGATGCAGTGTCTCGCGTTGCGAGTGACGCAACGTCACGTCGCGAAGTGAAAAGTTTGTAAGATTCTATATTTGTAACAATGACTTGCAAAGTAAAGTTTGTAAAAATATCTCGTGTCATTGTAACAAATGCAGAACCTTACAAATTTTCCACTTCACGACGCGACGTTGCGTCACTAGCAACGTGAAATATAACATCATTAAATCGAACCACTGCTCATCTCAACGCACGATCACTAATGTACCTTTCACTATTCGCATTTCACTCTAACACTTTCTTCTTGAGGCACTGAGAATAAGGCAATGAAGCGATCAGAGTTCTTCATTTCCAGATGGAAAATGAAGAACTCTGATATTTCATTCCCTTATGTATTATAGTATAACATTTTCGCCTCACCTTCCGTAACTGAGGGTCTTTGCCCACCCTCGTCATCGGCTTCGCCGTCATGCACGTCGTGGGCCCCACCGTCGTGCTCGCCGTCGGCCCCACCATCGTGCTCGTCGTTGGCCCCATCGTCGTGCTCACCGTCGTGCTCGCTGACGGCTCTACCATCGTACTCGTCGTCGGCTCCACCGTCGTGGTCGTGCTCGTCCTCGGCTTCATCACAGGCATCACCCTGAAGGGCGCTAAGCCTGTTTTATTGTTCGCGAGCGATGGCGACGGCGACGGCATCGTCTTGCTGGAAGCAGCTCTCCTGCCTCGTTCTTGTTTCTGCGTGTGAGACGGTTGCAATGGCGGTGCCATCGCCGTCGACGTCTTTCTCGTCATCATTGTCGTCGCCGCCGCCACCTTCATATCCGCGACGCTCTCCTCGCTTTTACTTGAAAGAAACATTATTAATTAAAACATTATCATGCGCGCTAAAAAATTATGTGATAATATATGTACAATTCTAAAATACCTTTTCTTATGGAGCTTACTCTGCTACCGGCTTCTACCAAGCAACGTCTTCTTCCGAAGTTAGTTCGCGTCTGAGCAAACAATCGCATTTAGGCATGTGAGGGGAAACAAAAGAAGCGCATAGCGCGCGCGTACTGTGCTCGATAACACTCGACCTTTAGGCCAGACCACACAAATGTGTCGCGACACGGCGCGTATGTGTGTGTCTGGCCTAATGGTCGGGCGCTACCGAGCACGGCACGCGCGCGCCACGCGCTTCTTATGTTTCCCCTCACATGCCTAAATACGATTATTTGTGCTCAAACGCAAACGAACTTCGAAAGAAGACGTTGCTTGGTAGAAGCCGGTAGCTGAGTAAGCTCCATGAGAAAAGGTATTTTAGAATTGTACATATATTATCACATAATTTTTTAGTGCGTATGATGTTTTAATTAATAATTTTTCTTTCAGCTAGAAGCGAGGGTAGCGTTGCAGATATGAAGACGGCGGCGGCGACGACAATGGTGACGAGAAAGACGCCGACGACGATGACACCGCCACTGCAACCGTCTAACACGCAGAAACAAGGGCAACGAGGCAGGAGAGGTGCTTCCAGCAAAACGATGCTGTCGCCGTCGCCATCGCTCGCGAACAATAAAACGAGCTTATCGCCCTTGAGGGTGGAGCCGAGGACAAGCACGACGGCAAAGCCGAGCACGACCACGACGGTGGAGCCGACAACGAGTACGACGGTAGGGCCGTCAGCGAGCGCAACGGTGAGCACGACGGTGGGGCCAACGACGAGCACGATGGTGGGGCCGACGGCGAGCACGACGGTGGGGCCCACAACGTGCATGACGGCGAAGCCGATGACGAGGGTGGACAAGGACCCTCAGTTACGGAAGGTGAGGCGAAAATGTTATACTATAATACATAAGGGAATGAAATATCAGAGTTCTTCATTTTCCATCTGGAAATGAAGAACTCTGATCGCTTCATTGCTTTATTCTCAGTGCCTCAAGAAGAAAGTGTTAGAGTGAAATGCGAATAGTGATCATCATTAGTGATCGTGCGTTGAGATGAGCAGTGTTTCGGTTTAATGATGTTATATTTCACGTTGCGAGTGACGCAACGTCGCGTCGTGAAGTGGAAAATTTGTAAGGTTCTGCATTTGTTACAATGACACGAGATATTTTTACAAACTTTACTTTGCATTGTTACAAATATAGAATCTTACAAACTTTTCACTTCGCGACGTGACGTTGCGTCACTCGCAACGCGAGACACTGCATCACAGAATCGAGGCACTGTTCATCACCGCGAACGATCATGAATGTACATATGATTATTAGGAGTTCACTCATATACGTTGGCTTTAGGATCGCTCAACCGACGTATGCTTTTCTCCGCGGTGCTGTTGCCCTCCGCGCTTGATAGCTAGCACACGCTTCAAGCTGAGAGACCAGCAGTCTGCGAGACTTACGATAATTCTTAATAATGTAATAATGTTCTTCTTTTACAGGCAATTAAGGACATTGTACGCTGGACATTTGAAAAAGAGAATAAACGTAAAAAAACAACATGGCGCACGAGGCCACCACGCTTTCCGCGGCCGACGCAGCCTCCAGCAATATTCCCGCTTCCGCCGGCGTACCCATCGTCAGTGTATCCGTCGCCAGCATACCCGTCGCCAGCATACCCGTCGCTAGCATACCCGTCGCCAGCATATCCGTCGCCAGCATATCCGTCGCCAGTATATCCGTCGTCAGCGTACACTCCGCCAGCGTACGCACCAGTATACCCATGGGGAGGATATTCCCCACGTTTCTTGTAGATTCGTATCAATTCTAAGTACATGTTTTTGTTAACATTTATATATAAAATATTGACATTTTATGTATAAATGCCTGCTTGTACAATAAATGTACAATAAATGTACAATAAATGTACAATAAATGTGAAAATGCCTTTCATTGGCAAATAAAAAAAGATGTTATAAAATTGTAAATTTCTTACCTGCCCATTCCTTATCCTTGATTGGAACATGAAATTACATTTTCAAATTATACTATTTCAATTCAAATATATTAATAAATGAGTATTCAGAACGATAAGAGCCAAACATGTAGATGGTAAAATACAAGCGTACAAAGTCAAATGAAATAAATAATATAAATACAAATATAAATTTCTTGCGCAACGTTTCGACCATGGGATGTGGTCCTCTTCAGGCAACGTTCAATACAATTAATGATGGTCAACACATTACATTCTGTTCGCGACGCGAGCGAAAAAACTAGCGGAGATTCGTCGCGATGAGAGATCGGCACCGTCACGTGCCTTCCACGTGCCTAGGTGTTCCGCGGCGCGTGCCAGGTAAGCCGGAATAAACACCGATCGCTTTCGGTTGTCATAGCAGGATAAACAGTGCGGATAAACAGTGTTTCCGCGAATCGAAAGCCGGCACGCCCCGTGGAGCCCTACACAGCGTAAGACATCTCCTTTTAAGGAAATTTCGACACGCGACCAGCGATTACCTTTTGCGCTGGACCAATCAGCGAGTGCCAGAGATGAAGAGAAACGGGCTTGTTCCACACGGCAATTAGCCACGTTTTATAGAAGGCCACACAGTCGTGCATCCGCTTAGCTAACAGCCAGACGTCGGAAGAGTCGGAGCAATCTCTCGCCTTGATAGTAAGATCGTATCGCGGAGTTAGCTACGTTCGAGTTCTTATTCTCAAAGCCGCTGTCTTGCTTTCCTTTGAATTTCCGAATTAGCGGAATTTCAATTTTCATATTTCTGAATCGCCGGTCGCCGTCGGCGACCGCTCTCTCGCGCAGCTCCGGATTGCTCCGCTCTCATAGCCGTCGGCTGTTTCGACCGGTGTCTGCCTTGTCCGTTTTTCATCGTTAATCGCGGCGTTTCCGTATTGCCTTGAACGACACTTTGTCCGTACATTCGATTAGTGTCGCGCGCGCTGGAAATTGTAATTTCGGTTTTTGTGTTGTCCTGCGCTAAAGTGCCGCGGAATCTCGACGATCATTTCGGGAAAGAGTCAGGGGTCACCGCGATACAAGATCTCCGTCGGCCGCGTCAAGATCTCCGTCGGCCGGGCATCCGTCGGATGCTCCACAAGATTTCCGTCGTAGTTGTGTGACCGAAGTTACGACTCTAAGAAGATTTCCGCTCCAACTCATGATCTACTCGAGATAGCCGTGGCGTAAAGTTATCGAGAGTGTTAAATAAAGTGAATAAATCAACTTGAACAAATCAGTTCCTAATCGATTTCGCCTCCCTTCCTCACGCCGCTGGATCTCGTGCGAGATCGATCCAGTAAGCGTCATTCTCTCCGCTAATTTGAGAGAATTCGCTACACATTCCTTGTAGTTCTTATAAAAGTTAAAAAATAATATGAGTCATACTATCGACAGTCAAAGAATCCGTCACATCAGTGTTCGTAAGTTGTGACAAACAAAATTTATTTCATTTATTTCATTTGACTTTGTAACGTTTACTATCTACGTGTTTGGCTCTTATCGTCCTGAATACTCATTTATTAATATATTTAAATTGCTAGAGCCGTTTTATTATAATTTGTTTTATTAATTATTTCAATTCACATCAAATTACACTATTTCAATTTTATAATTTTCGAGGTTCCTCGCTGCAACTATCCTTGGCATATAGACTGCGTTTATACGAATGGCAATCAGGTTATATTACAAACGTTCATATAATATTATGTTATGTACAGAGAATTTTGTCTCTCTCTCTCTCTGTCTATAATTAATTTTACTTCTCCTTCAATACCTGTCAGCCTTACTGAAAAATTTTCGTAGAGATAACAATAGAATTTCCAATTCAATTCTCAGTTGAATTCTCAATTGAATTCTGAAATGCCGTTAATAAATAATGATTTTTCACTGAATTTTTCTACATTTTTAATGAAATATTATTGAAATATTAATGAAATTATAATGAAATTTTAATGAAATTGGGTCAAAATTGTGAATGCTTTTCAAAAGCATTTCAGCAAAAGTTCATTATATTTTCAATAAATTATTTCCATCAGATATAAATTCAATTGAGATCTTTGCATGCAATTTTTGCGCAAACGGCATTTCAGAATTCAATTGAGAATTCAACTGAGAATTGAATTGGGAATTCTATTGTTATCTCTACGAAAATTTTTCAGTAGGGAGCCTTTCATAATGTATATGGAGGTCCATTCTTAAATCATTCGTAACAATTCGTTTACATAACTTGCTTGTGATATGCAATGAATATATTTTTTTTCGTTAAAGCATGCATATGGAATATCATTCGTTGATTACATGTATAATTAGTTTAAATTATTCAAATATCGAGCTCCTGGATCATTTTATCGCAGACTATTCAATGAATTATGTGGATGAATTCATAATAATAACCTGTGTATCGTACATATGATCGATTAATGTTTTAACTGTCATATGTTATATGATAATATTTATTGATAATATACTGGCTACTTGACGAAGATCACTAAGGAATGCTCTGGTACTCTATTCTTTTTTTACGCATAATGAGAGATATTGTTACGAAAAGTGTTAATATAGCATGCTTCCCGAATCTAACCGTCACGGCTGTGAAACAATGCAATATCTGATGATCGCGCGCTGCTGGATAGTTACGCATCAGTACCTTGTTGATCATTAGACAACATCGTATTGTAACACGCGAGCGTTAAAGATTGTTCGTATTAAAAATATTTAATTAGAGGATATAGAGGAGATTTAGAGGATATAGTAAGTGGTGTTGATAACATTCTGGATTTATAAAAACCGGACTGAAAAAGTTGTGCAAGACGTACGTTGTTATATTACAAGTACAGGATATTAGAAAGAAACGTGCGAAGAATGGGGTACACGGAGAAGTGTAATCGCAAGTCCCTTTGCAGCAAAAGATTATGCAAAAAAGGAGGCTGGTTGAAAAGGTTGGTACTTTCATTATTTCTGTAATAGTATTCTAATTATAAATGCATCGTGTTCTGACAAAGTAAATGTATTCCGTTTTTGCCAAGTAATATACCGAAAAATTTATAGCATTCTTTTTATATTTTGTACATGTATACTATATTTTATAATGACTGTGCTTACAATGTGCATTCTTGTTATGAATGCAATTGGATA